GGCGTTTAAAAAACGTTCTAAAATAGTTGTTTAAAAAACGTTCTTAAAAAAACGTTAAAAAAACGTTCTTAAAAAACCCAAATTAAATCATAAAAAAACGTCTTTTAAACGTATAAAAGACGTTCTTTTTCCGAAAATATTCTAAAACCCAAAGGTACTATTATTAAATTGTTTGAAAGAACCTGTAAGTTAAAAAAACAAGAAAAATAAAAAATTCATTTAAAACTTATTTTTAAATTTATTTTCTAAATCAATTTACAAACAAATTATTATCGTAACTATCTGTTGGATTTAAGGCACTTTAACACGAGTAAAAGATGCCTACTTTAACAAATCAGTAATTATTGCATCGACAATCGACTCTCTGTGTATGATTCGTGATCAGAAATGTATTTAAAAACTAGTTTTTATTGTAAATGATAGCAAAGGGTTTACAACACTAAACAACATTTTAACAAATTTATTTTTAACGTAACTCGCGTTTTTTCAGTGCGACAAAATTATAAGACAGTTTTACAAAAAATGTTTTATTTGCAAACTGCAGTTGTGGGTAATTAAGAATATTTATTTGATGTAAACACCACACACGATTATTTAACTGTAAACATTTGTGAACTGTGAAACATTTAGTTTAGTATTTTTTTAATTAAGTATAAAATTACAAATTAATTAATAATGGGTCGTGCTGCATCATTGAGTCCAGATGAGAAAAAAGTGCTCTCTAACTTATCGAAAATAGGTCACTCCGTTAGTTACATGGCTAGAGCTATTAGACACAGCCAAATTGCGATTAAAAACTACGTGTATAGTCCTCATATGTATGGAATAAAATAAAGTTTCAGACATCCATCAACATTAAATGACCGTGATAGGCGAAGATTGTTAAGACAAGCTTCAAATTTTTTATTAACCGCACGTCAAATTGCTGCAGAAGCAGATGTGATTGCTATTTTACGTACAGTTCAGCGAGTTATTTATAATGCTTTTCACCTTTCGCCTTTTTTTTGACGGTAAAATGAAGGCTAAGGATTATCTTTTAATTGTTCAAGAATTTTTAAGACGTCAAGCATCTGTAATAAGTAGTTAAAATTTTGTTTTTCAGCAAGATAATGCTAGCTTTATACACCTAAGATAGTAACGGAGTATTTCAACAGCAGTAAAATTGAAATATTGAAGTGGCCAGCTAGATCTCCAGACCTGAACATTATTGAGAATGGTGGGCCACAGGTGTTACATATAGTGTTTGAAGGTGATAAACAATTTAGTTCACTAGCTGAGTTGAAATCATCCATCGCATCTGCATAGGATACAATTCACATTTCGTACATAAAAAAGTTGTATAATTTTTTACCTTCTAAAATGATTGAAGTGGTTGAAAAAATGGTAAAAGTAGCCACCATTGATTGTTTAAAATTGGGACGTCTTTTTATATAAATGACAATTTATATTAATTTTTTCCAAAGGTGTCTTATATTTTTTTCGCACTAAAAAAACAGTTTTTTTTTAATAAAATGCGAGTTAGGTTTAAAATAATTTTTTTTTAATTTTGTTGCAATCATTTTGCTCTCATTTACTTTAAAAATTAGTTTTCAAAAATAAATGTATATTAGAGTTTTATAAATATTTTTGGGGTGTCTTATCATTATATCGTGCAGTGTCTTACACAAAAACTTATCATTTTAACTATTAAGCAAAAACTTATTTGTTCATTATAAATAGAATTGTTTATCTCAATAAATATATATATATATATATATATATATATATATATATATATATATATATATATATATACATGGGCGCTTGCAAGGGGAAGAGGGGGGCAAGAGGGGGCACTTGCCCCCTCCCCCCCTGTATTTTCTAAATATAGAAAAAAATTTTCTTGTTTGTAACGTTCTTCATACCATAAAGTTTGTTACTTAAGTTTTTTCCGAAATAATTAATTGCTTATTTGTATGACAAACACGATATTTTTCAATCTTAGCATGTTTCGTAGTTTACACACTACATTTTCAAAGGATAAAATTACAATTAAAACTCTGGAATATAAAACCAAAATTTGAAGACATTACAGAGATCTGTATTTATATCTTACATATCTTGATTTTTATACAATAGATAACAGGATAAAAAGCAATAACAAAAAATGTTTTGCCCCCCTTAGAAAATTTTCTGCGGGCGCCTATATATATATATAATTAAAAACGAAATATATATATATATATATATATATATATATATATATATATATATATATATATATATATATATATATATATATATATATATATATATATATATATATATATATATAATTAAAAACGAAAAAAGAAAAAACTTTTATTATGGAACTTTAAGTTTTATGCCTAACGGCAATCTTCAGCCATATATTACAAAATTTAAAATAGACGTTAAAATTACAATTAAAATTACGGTGGCGTGAGTTCTAATGACTCCATGGAAACAAAATTTTAAAAGTTTTAAGAGTATTATGTGGCGAAAAAGTGACGTAAACCAATCAGATCAATCTGCGGTATCATAGGAGGAAATGAGAAATTTATTTTTTTGTCTACACTTCGAGATTGTTTAATTCCTTGTGTTAAGAAGGTTTTCACCTTTATAAATCAAAATTTGAAACTTCTCGTTCAAACAGAGGTTGCAAACTCTTGATTTTGGGTTGTATGGTTTGCAATGTTTAACAATCTTCCATCTGACAAAATCTGTAAGGTTTTTTTCTTTTAATTTCCATATTTCTTTAGATAACTCAGTATCATTTTAATATCTGAGTCTAAAATACACTTTTTCTTTGTACTCCGGATTGTTTGAACAAACGGTGGCTTGATAACAACCTCTGTTTTTCTAGAAACAATGTTTCTAGAAAAACAGAGGTTGCTCATCAGACATTTGGATTTATTAATGCGTGTCTTTTCATTAACTTTTGCCTCCTGATTTAACGTGTTTTTATTGTGAGAGTTGATAATGGATTTTATGTTTGGCATGCATGAATAACTTATTTTGATTGTGTTTCTATTAAATATTTTATGGAGTCTGTGGTTAATTGGAAAGTGGTGGTCGATGAGGTTTAAAAAACATTTACCTATTTTTGTTACAACATTTGCACTGAAAGGAGGATAATACCAAATTATTTTACATTTATGATTGCTGTTTGAAGATTTTATACTTGGATGGTATGCAAGTTCGCAAGTGTATCCAGATTTTTTCAGGGCTTCTTGATAAGGAGGAATACTTTCTTTAAAAATCAATTCACTTGACGATGCTGCTGATAATCTTAACTCAATGGTTTTAGGAATACTTTTTATTACACTCGGTGGGTGATTAGAACTAATATGTATGCAGTTAAGTATATTATCTGGTTTGCGGTAGGGTTGAAAAGAACCATTTTTAAGGTTTAGCGTTAAATCCAGATAGTTAACTATTTTCAAAATACATTTAATAGAGATTGAAAGATTGTTATTTTTAAAGATTTGTACAAAATGTTTTTTTATCTTCTCCATTTCCTGACCACTTTTATTTCTAAAAATAGCTAATTCATCATCTCGACATATACCGAAATTACTTTTATCATAAAACTGCGAGATTTGATGCAAAATAAAAATACCAATTAATTTGCAAATCTCCGCGCGATCAAAGGCCCCTATAGTGACATCGAATAACCCTCCTTCTTTCTTAATCCAAGCAGTTCCATTGCTAAATAATAATGCTTTTCTTGCACGGTGTATGAAACTCTTTTGCTCATTATTTATTACTAAATGTTGCTCTGCAAAGGATAACGCATTTTTCAGCAGGTTTTCATTAATCGATGGATAAAAATCATTAATATCAAAGACTAAAAACTTACACAATTGTTTTTCTTTTATGGTTTGAAACCAATGTATAACATTTTGAGTGTTTTGCTATTGGTTCAAAAATTATTTCTTTCTTAGCTCGGAATTAATGTTGGATAAAATAGATTTTGAAATTCTTTAAATCTCATTTTTCGCAGGGTTAATAAGTCTAACAGTTGGTTTATCTAGGAAGTTTTCTTTATGGTCTTTTAGAGTCATGAAACAATTTTCAGTACCGTTAATTCCAATTTTGTTGTATGCATCATGGTTAATTAAATTTTTTTTACCTTGTTTGTTTATTTGATCTTTGAGTTTAGGGTCAGCCTTTTTATACATAGAAGTAATTGCATTATCAAGGAGTTCGTTGTACTGATCTTTAGATAATTTGTACATGTTTGATGTTTTGTCGGCTAGAGTTAAAGTTTTTTTTGAGGTTTGTATAGAATTTTTATCGTTTGCTAATTTTTTTTGAAAAAAAAAATTAAAAAGAAAAAACCATAATAAATGTTTTTCATAACAAAAGTTTTTCCATAATAAAAGTTTTTTCTTTTTTCGTTTTTAATTATAAACCGCTCTGTTATGAAATTTATATATAATTAAAATAAATTTCTTAATTATTGAGCACTTCTCAAAGAACAAGAGAATTGCTCTGTTCCTTTAAGAACGTCGAGCACTCTATTTTGTAGAATACATTTTAAAATGGTTAAAATATATATATATATTATATATATATATATTATATATATATATATATATATATATATATATATATATATATATATATATATATATATATATATATATATATATATATATATATATATATATATATATATATATATATATATATATATATATATATATATATATATATATATGTATATATATATATATATATATATGTTAGAGTAAGCGAAACATGGTTCAAAAATAATTCAATTGTAAACATTCCTGGTTACAATATATACAGGTATGATAGAATTGGTGATCGTAGAGGCGGCTGTGTTTGCTTATATATAAAAAAATTCAATTGATTTGTATGAGCTGGTCGACACTGATTTTAGTATTAGCAAAATCAAGCAAGTTTGGGTAGTATTTTATGGACAAGATAAATACCTGGTTGGTTGTCTATACAGACTAAATTATGTTGTTGATATGGTAGATCTTAACAATATTTTTAAGATAGAAAAAAGATATGTTGATATTAATGCCTTTAAAGATGTACTAATTATGGGAGATTTCAATTTCCCAGCCATTAAATGGTCAAACGGTAGTATAGCATCAATTTCAAAGAAAAGTGGTATTGAACATAAATTCTATAAGACTTTAAGTGATACTTTTCTCTATCAACATATAAACATACCAACTTTTTAATTGACTAATGGCTTACCCTCAAATGTTTTAGATAAAATATTCACAACAGAATCTGGTAGTGTATGTGCTGTCGACCCAGGTTTTGTGCTCGGTGACATAAACAAAGGTCATCTAATTATTTACTTTAAATTTGTCCTAAAAAATAATTTTAAAAGATTAGCTTGTAGTAACTTTAAATTTATGTATAGCAAAGCTAAATTTGATAAAATTTTTGATTTTATGTCCAATATCGAGTGGGTGAAGTTGTACGAAAACAAGACAGTGCAAGACATGTACGACGAATTAACTTACAATACCACTGAAGCATGCAATTTGTTTGTTCCAACCATAGACATTTCACAAATCAAAAGCTCAACAACTCCTTGGATTAATAATGAAATCAAGCAATTAATAAGAAGAAAAAGAAATTTAAGATACATAAATTGTTCTCACATGATGTTAAACTGATTAATGATGTTAAACTGATTAAAGAATATAAGCAGCTATGCAAATTATTAAAAACAGAAATATACAATGCTCGAGTATTATTTGAAAAAAATCTAGTGTTAAGGTCTAAACTTAATCCTAAACTTCTATGCAAGTATTTAAACAGTACAAATTCAATAAAAGATCCAATAAAGGCCATAATAACGCCTAATGGTGATTTATCGCATGAACCAAATAAAATAGTAAATTGTCTAAATAAACATTTTCAGGATGTCTTCACTATTGAAGAAAAAGGAGATCTTCCACCGTTTCATCTCGAATTAAATGATGTATATAAATTTGAAGATATTGAATCAGATGATATTAGCTTTGAGTTAGTTTTATCTAAACTTAACTCACTAAAAGACAATAAATCACCTGGACCTGATAAACTTTGTTCAATAGTCCTCAAGAGTTGTGCTATATCGTTTACTTTACCCCTAACTCTTATATTTAGAGAATCGCTTAAAGCCAGTCAACTACCAATACAATTCAAGTCAGCAAATGTAACACCGATACATAAAAAAGGCCATAAAACAGTGGCCAGCAATTATTACCCTGATTCATTAACTTCTATTCCTTGCAAAATATTAGAATCTATTCTAAGAGAAAGAATTGAAAAACATCTTTACAAAAACATTTTATTAACAATCCAACAGCATGGTTTTGTAAAAGGCAAATCTTGTACCACAAATTTGCTAGAAACTCTTGACTTTATTTCCTCACACAACAGCAATGGTTTACCTGTTGATGTAGTAATGCTAGACTTTGCTAAAGCTTTTGATAGTGTTCCTCACAAGAGACTTTTTGCTAAATTGAATGCATATGGTATTAATGGCTTAGCTCTAAAACGGATGGAAGCTTTTCTAAATAATATAAGACAAAGAATAGTTCTTGATGAATTTGTTTCTGAGTGGGTTGAAATGTTTAGTGGCGTGCCACAGGGCTCTATTATTGGACCGTTAATGTTTAATATATACATTAATGATCTGCCAAGTAAATTAATAAATAAAACTAAATTGTTTTCTGATGATACCAAGATATTGTCCAAGGTAACTTTAGACGAGTGTACCTCAAGTCTGCAGAGGGATTTGGATGTATCATTTAAATGGACAGAAGACTGGCTTTTAAAGTTCAATGTTGATAAATGCGTAGTAATGCACTATGGAGTAAACAACAAAAAGAACCCTCTATACATTAGCGGCATAAAGTTACCAGAATCAAACAGCGTAAAAGATCTAGATGTAATATTTTCTAAAAATCTCAAGTGGAAAGATCAAGTTATGTATGTATCAAATAATGCAAACAGAATGTTAGGTCGAATCAAAAAATCATTTGTGAGATTGGACTGTTATTTACTTAAATCACTCTATGTAACCTTTATTTGTCCTTTTCTAGAATTCTCAGTTCCAGTATGGTCCCCGTATCAAAGAGGTGACTGTAAAGTAATTGAACAAGTGCAGCGTCGAGCCACCAAACTGATTAAATCAATTAGGTGTTTCAGTTATGAGGATCGATTAAAAGTTTTGAAATTGACAACTTTAACTAAACAAAGAGAAAAAGGTGATATGATCCATCGATTTAAAATAATGAACAATGTTAATATAACTTACAAACTATTCAAAATCATGCTAGAGGTCACTGTTTCAAATATTATAGGGAAACAACAAAAAATCTGCTAAGGCACAATTTCTTTTATAATATATCGGCAAACTTATGGAACTCATTGCCTTTAGAACTAGTCAATTCATCGTCTGTAAACTCTTTTAAAGCAGGGTTCAACTGTTCGAGGAACAACAATCAATCGAAGCGGCTGTCACAGTGTGCTTAAAAACATGCTCACTGGTCATTCCAGTTACAGCATTAAATACTAACTAACTAAAACTATATATATATATATATATATATATATATATATATATATATATATATATATATATATATATATATATATATATATATATATATATATATATATATATATATATATATATATATATATATATATATATATATATATATATATATATATACATATATATATATATATATATATATATATATATATATATATATATATATATATATATATATATATATTTATATATATATATATATATATATATATATATATATATATATATATATATACATATATATATATATATATATATATATATATATATATATATATATATATATATATATATATATATATATATATATATATATATATATATATATATAAACGAACCTTTCATTAAGTTGTATAGCTCGGTTAAACTAAAAAGATCCTTTGCCTTATCCAGCTGCATATTAAACATGGCCATAAGTGAATTTGTCATAAAACTAAAAATACCATAATTTAATAACATTATATTTTTGAGTTTATGAAGTTATAATTAACTACTGTATTTAAAAATGTTTTTCTCTCTTATAAAAATCTAAATGTTTAATTAAATTTAACAATACAGTTTATCTATTAATTAATATTTAAAATATAGCACACTAACCATTAGTGTAGTCCAGATCATTAGTGTACACTAACCATTAGTGTAGTCATATATATGAATATTGTCTGGGTTAAAAGAATTGTCTGGACTAAAGTTTAAAGCTATAGGATAACCTATAGCATTAAATTTGCAAACTGGCATAAGTGTGAATTGGCATAAGTGCACCAAACAAGTTTGCAAACATTGCATGAGTACGAATAGGTATAAGTGCAAAATTTAAATAAATACAAAACACTTACAAAAACTGGCAGAAGTGCAAACTGACATAAGTGCGCGTAATAAATTTGCAAACATTGGCATAAGTGCAAATTGCAAATAATGTTTGCAAATTTATTTGATACACTTATGCTAGTTCGCATTTATGTCATTTGCACTTTTGCCAGTTTTTGCTACTGTTTCGCACTTATACCAGTTCCCACTTATGGCAACTCACACTTATGCTAATCTTTGTAAATCTATTTAGCGCACTCATGTCAATGGCTTCAAATTTGTTCGACGCGCATATGCCAATTCGCACTTATGCCAGTTCACACTTATGCCAGTAAGCACTTTTAGCAGTTTGCACTTATGCCAATGTTTGGGAATTCTTTTTGCGCACTTATGCCCATTTGCACCTATGTCATTTGGAATTGTGCCAGTTTTTGTAACTGCTTCGCACATGTGCTAGTTTGCACTTATGCTAATTCGCTCTTACGCCAGTTCGCACTTATGAAATTCACGGTTATTCAGTCGTTCCATTATTGTAAAACGGCTTAGGTAGAGCCATGTATGGGATTTGTACTATGGATTGTAAGATGGGAGTAATTTTATTATAAACTTAAAAAGAGTATTTATAAGAATGCACTTTTAATTTACTAACTTCTTCATCATAGCTATCACATGTTTTTGACAATTCTTGCCACCAATATTTTAAACTCTTTGTTTCTAATAGAAAGAAATAATGGAAAAACGGACAATTCCTAGTTTAGTAGTAAAAATTATATATTGTGAAGAAAATTTTTAAAAAAGAAAAAATCTGTCAAATCACTATTTAGCAATTTACAACTTCAGAGTTACAACAGAGTTACTAAATGAAACATTATCAAGATTGAATCAAACTTATTAAATTCTATTAGGCTGTTCATTTCAGTTACTACTTCTTGTTCACACTATTTTATATTGAGTTTTTTTGCCTCCTTGGTTTTTTTACCTCATTTAAGAGAAGCAATACGCAATGTTGAAAGTCTAAACAAATATACAATAATGAAGTTTTACATAGTCTGAACAGAACTACGTAAGTAAATAAATTGTAAATACATAAATTTAATAATTTAACAACTTTACTGGTCTAGCCCTAAATCAGAGAAAAACTAATAGACAGTAAAATGCTTGATTGTGGCAATGCTAATTTTTGGTATAGCCACAATAAAGTATTTTACTATATATTACAGTTTTTCTCAGATTTAGCGTTAGACAAGAAAGATAGTTTCATAGATTTATAGTTTTGATAGAATAGAAATAATGGATTTCATGCAGATGACTATTTATATGAAAATTAAAACCTCATTGTTTTAATGATATGTTTCAATATTGACAGCTATGTTAGCATTTTACAACAAACATTACATTTTTAATTTTAACTGAAGACTTACTTGCTTCAGATAATGGAAGTCGATCATATTTATCCTTTTTATTTAAAGGTGATGAAGATAGATGTGTCTTAAAATGAATCTCATGGTCATCACAATCAATATCATCTTTATTTATTATTTTTTAATCTACAGAACACAAGCATAGAGAATGTTTGAATTTCATCAAACAACTTGTTTTCTCATGTAGCAATTTTAAAATTAAAATTTTTCACAAATTACTTTAGAGATTATTAATCTTATAAGTAAAATAGGGTATATAATATGGTATATAACATTATAGGTTTCATACTGCCAAATTTTTGGTAATAACACCAGAATATCATTAAAGATTAAAAATCTTAAAATGATATTTGAACTAAGTCACTCACTTTCTTGAAACAATTCATCATATTTTTTCCTTTCAGTCTTTTTAACTATAGTAATTCCTCTATTAAAACCACTGATATTATCATTTTTTATTTTTAGAGTTAAAGAAGAAAAACTCTAAGAATGTTGTTCCCTCTTCTCAAACCCAAAGGAATTTTTTTGCATTATAAGCAGTTGATAATCAAGTAGAATTAAAAACTTAATCTAGTTTCTTCAGCAATCAAGTTTACTCAACAATTAAGTTATTCAAAAAGTAAAATAATCTAGTTAACCTCACCATAAAAACTTTATTAATCATATCTACTTGATTCAAGTAGAAATACAAACACAACTTTCTTTCAACGAAGGCATGCAACTTTAAACTAAAACACCACTAATATATTTTCAAATTCAATTCCACAAGAAAATAATACAAACACTTGGTTGATTTAAAGATATCTTAATTTATATAATTTTTACTTACATAAATCGATTCGCCTAATCGAAGGTCACGCCATTATTTGCGTAAACATACTCTTTTAAATATTGTCGTACATTTTAAAAACGGTTTTTTATTACGTTAAAATAACGTTTTAAAAACGTTCATAAGCTAACTGAGAAGTTCCTAAGTTATTCTAAAAAAAAAAAAACGCTTAAAAAACGGTAAAAAAACGTTTACATTAACATTAAAAAAAACGTTTACAAAAAACGTTTTAACTATAATTAACTTAAAATTAAATTAGATTGTATTGGTTCTTTAAACGTCCGACCGTAAATTGAACGGAATTAAAACGTTTTTAAAACGTCCTGTGCTTACTGGGATAGTCCGTGAAAACGTGGTTAAAAAATATACCTTAAAGCTACAAAAGTTTTCTCAAAACCTTGATCCATTTTAAAATATGGCATAAAAATATTTATATCAGGGCATTTTCAAGCCAAAGTTTTATCTATGAAATTAAACTGGTGAGATATTAAAACCATTTCGTTTTGTAAACAATTTTTTTCGCAAGATTTATTGTTATAAATGTGAATCAATAGCATTTGGAACAGTTTTTTCTCAAAACATAACTACTTTCTCAAAACATAATACCAACTTACTAAAAAACAATTAAGGCGTTTTGCTTATTTGAAACTAGCTGGGCATAAAATGACTGGGAAATAAGTACAAAAAGCAATCTAGCTTCAGGCTACGAGTGTTGATGGCATACGGCTTTTCAAAAAAAAAAATATTACCTTAAATAAAACAATAATTTAGCCAGTCTATGCCGTAAAATCAGTCTGTGGCATAGCCAAAAACCGATCTGCAATGTCCGAATTTTTTTTAATTACGGTTTTTTTTAGTTTTAAGCAATGACGTAATAATATAACTAGATGCATGATTCTCAACTTTTTGTGAAAAACTTAGTGAAGTCAGCGTCCGCCGTTTTGCTGAACGGCAAAAAAATAAAACCCGACAATGAAAACAGAAAATTATTTATTAGAAAAATAATTATCATAAAATTTGATTAATTGAGCACCTATAAAAAACTAATTTTCACTATATTTTTAACTATATGTGTATATATATATATATATATATATATATATATAATATATATATATATATATATATATATATATATATATATATATATATATATATATATATATATATATCACGGTCGTTTAGATATTAGTAAAAAGCGCTATGTTTAGGTACGCATGCGTTAGAAAACACGAACTTTTTAAATGGCTACCGTACTTAACTACAGATAATATTTTATATGGCAACAGATTATTTGTTAATTAACTTCTGAAAAAACAATGATTTAGCCTTATGTTTAACGTAAATCAATATAAAAATACAAAAATTTAACAAAAAAATGTACATTTTTTTGTTAAAAAAATGTACATTTTTTTGTTTAATTTTTGATTAGAATTTTTTTGTTAAATTTTTTTCAAAAATTTAACAAAAAAATTCTAATCCATAAACTTAAACACTATGGAATAGAAAATAAAGTTTTAAAATGGTTTGAAAGCTATTTGTCAAATCGTAAACAATTTGTTCCGAGTAATGACGGTTATCACACCAATTGTCTTTCTATAACATGTGGAGTCCCACAAGGCTCAATTCTTGGTCCACTCCTTTTCCTAATTTATATTAATGATTTAAATAAAGCCTCTAAACTAACAAGTATTATGTTTGCAGATGAT